AGCATCCCCATGACGCAAATGTCGGAACATTTGAAGTTGTCCCAGAGGCTCCTTGAACTAGCCTCATTTTTTTGGATTCTTTTTTTTTTTTCTTTCCTGAATGGTGTCCCTTACATTTGAAACTGCTGAGTTGATTCTTGGCTTCATCCACTCCACTGTTGATTCCCTGTAAATTATTCTTCATTCCATTAGTGTACCTTTCATTTCTGACTGATCCTTTTTTTATGCTGTTGACATTCTAAGTCCACTGTGCATCCTTATAACCAGTGTTTTGAATTCTGCATCTAGTATATTGCTTGTCTCCATTTTTACTTCTTTTTCTGGAGTTTTGTTCAGTTCTTTCATTTGAGACATGTTCTGTCTCATTTTGGCTGTCTCCCTGTGTATGTTTTTGTATATTACATAGAGCTGCTACATCTCCCAGGCTTGGTAGCGAGGCCTAATGTAGTAGGTGTCCTGTGGGGCCCAGTGGCACAGCCTCCCAATCACCAAAGCTGGGCACTCAAGGTGCACCCCACCCCCCCGCTCCCATATGGGCTGTGTGCACCCTCCTGTTGTAGTTGAGCCTTGATTGCTGTTGGCACATAAACAGGAGGAATTTACCCCTGGGCTGAATGGCTGCAAGGACTGGCTGTGACCACCGACCCCCGTGGAGGATCAACTGGGCAGCGGCTCACTGTGCAGAACAGGAATTACTTCGGTGGGGCTCTGGTGCCTGCTGTCTTCGCCCCTGATTGTGTTGCTTGTGGAGGTGGTGGGGTGGTGCTTCAATATGGTCAGAGGCTGTCCGCTGGGTGTGCTAACACTGGGTCCCCCTGGAGGGGCAGGCCAAGGTCAGCCACTGCTCGAGGCCACCCAGCGTGAGCTACCAAGTGATCTTCAGATGGCTGCTACTTGTGCTGGGCCTGCAGGTGCCCTGGTGAGGCCAAGCTGGGAACCGAGGCTGGCTGCTGCCAGTGCCAGGCCGGGGGCCTCTTAATGAGAGGTACAGGGCACACCAAGGCCAGCTGTTGCTTGTTTGAGAGATTTTAGGAAAATTGGGAGCATGAGCCAAGACAGGCCTTTCATGTGGACAAGCCACTGGAACCAGCTAGAATGGGCCCCCAAGTTGGGTGGGACTGGGTCTCAGGGTCACCGGGTGGGGGCAAACAGTGAGGGTGATGGAGTCTCAGACATGGTGCCCACCTGCCAGCTCGGCAGGGGGAGGGCTCATCAAAGGAGCAGTGGCCCCTGTGAGCACTTTTGTCTGGGAGAGAGCTGCCCCCCAGCCCTTGCCCTGATGCCAGACAATCCAGTTCCGTCCCATATGTCACTGGTGCCTTTCAAGCGGCTGCCCCGGTGCTGGAGCTCAGAGGGAGTGAGCCTGAGAAAGTCCATGCACAGGCCCTTTAAGAGGAACTGCCTGGGACTCCAGAAGCTCCCCGCCTCAGCCTCGATCCCTGCTGGTTTTCACAGCCAGCAGTTATGGCAACTTTTCCTGGCACTGGAGTCCTAAGCTGGGGGCCTGGGAGGAGGCCGGGACCTTGCTCCTCAAGGGGGACCTGTGCAGCTGAGCTATCCCTCCCGAATTTTATCTGCCACACATGGGGGTGGGGCCAGCCCTTTCCACATCTTCCCCCCTCCCATCAGTCTCTGTGTGGCTTCTTCTTCGATTCCCTACTTACAAGGCTTCTGTTCAGCCAGATTTCATGCAGTTCCGAATGACAGTTGTTCTGTAGTCTAGGTGTGATTTTGATGTGGTTATGTGAGGAGGTGAGCACCACATTTACCTACGCCACCATCTTGACCAGAAGTCTTACCAGCTTTTAGAGATCACGTTGGAACCTCCCAGCCATCCCATGACCCTCTCCAAGGTCAGGGGTCAGCTGGTCTCCGGGTGCAGGCTCAGTCCACTCTGCATTACCCTGAGTGCTCGCCAACCACCGCTGAAGCAGGATCAACATTCGGCTCTGGGGAAAACATGGTTCACAGGAAACACAGTCTTGACTGCCCTGGAGCTTACAGTCCGCCGATACAAACAAAGGCCTGAGTGAGGCCGCCGCGGGCTTCTTGCACCCAGGATGCAGTCAGCAGGGCTCCCCGAGGGGCACCGTGGACGCTGAGAGCTAATGCAGCAGGAGAAGCCAGACCCGAGAGATGAGGGAGGGAGAGCCAGGGCAGAGGCCTTGCCATGGGAATGCAGGGAGGTGACCAGAGCTGAACTGGCCAGGCCACATAAGGAATCTGCATGTTATTCTTACTGTGGGAAGCCAGGGGCCCGGGGCCAGGCAGGGATGACTCAGTTTGATTCTCCCTCTGACAAGGTTCCCACGAGATCGTACGGAGGAAGGCCACTGCCACACAGTCCAGAGACGGGAGGGCGAAGGCGGCGGACCCAGGCTGTGCGCCTCGCTACGCAGGGAGGTGGCGGTGCTGGGAGGACAGGTAGCGAACCAAGGCAGGGAGGAGGAGGAGACGTGTCTCATGGGTCGCTTCCGCAGTCCCGAGCCCAGTCTGATTAGATCGCCAGCCGTTCCAAACTCGTCAAGCAGAGACAGCACAGGAGTAGGGGGCCCTTAGACTCTGTGCTGGGAAGGGGAGCCTCTGTAGCGATTTCATTAAGATGAACAGCCTTTACTAGCTAGGAAAGAAAGCCTTTGTAGCTGTACATTATTCCTAAGGTTTAAAAGGGGAAGGAGGGGGAACCTCGAAGCTGACTTAGGTGTATAACCCCTGGACCCCAACAGTCGGCGCACTCAGAGTAGCCGAGTGCCCACGTGCAGCCTCAGCTCACGTGTCCAGAGCAGCAACCTTACTAACAAACTTACTAACAACTTTATTTCCTCTCTGTGTGGGGCATTCAGACTAGCCAGTGCCTGCCTGTAGCTTAGTGCTCGTGTGTTTCACAAAGAAACTTGCTATCCCATTCTCACTATGCATGTTTGTCTCTCGCTTGAACCTGCCTCTTGCAAGTGAGGCAAGAACGGAGGAACAAGTGCGGGCGTGAAGCGGTGGGGGGCACTGACTCGGGTCTCTCCCTGGTAACGTCGGGACAAAATCGACAGGTTGCTGGCTTGTTCGACGGGAGAGAGGGAGGCTGCATCGCTGAGCCGGGATGGGCAGGGAGACCGGAGTTCGGCACCGAGCCAGAGGGAAGCTCCCTGCGAAGGGCCGGCACCATCGGCCAGGACGGCTGGGTCTGTTTCCTGACTCGGCTGCTCACCAGCCTCGGCCCCCATATGATGCATGGGCTCAAATGCCCGTCCCTAAAGGCAGAAGGCAGCCCAGCCGCCCATGCCCGTACTGGGTGACTCAGGGCACAGACTGGCGGCTCTGGACAGTCACCTGGCCCAGACTGCTCGCTCCAGCTGAGAGCCATGGGGTGTGAGCGTCCTCCTGGCTGTGCACAGGCCCCGACGGCAGCCCCGGCACACGCGGTGCGCGCACGATTCTCTCCCGCTCTCTGCCCTCCCCTAACCGCACCGCTCCTGTGGGGACTGTCCCTCTCTCCTGGCCCCGGGAGCGGGGCCCTGGGCTTCAGAGGGCGGCCCTGAAGCCGGCCTTGCAGAGAAGCAGGCTCCCTACCATCTTGCTGGAGGGGGGTTGGGCTCCCAACCTTGGGGTCAGCCCACGGTCCCCCTCCATTGTAAGTGGCCCACTCCACATGGCAGGGTGGGCAAAGAGGACCACTCCCCTTTCCCTCTCAACTTCCTACCCTGGTAGCTGTAAAACCTCAGACACGTCATTGCTTCCTGCCAAGCCTCACCTTTTCCACCTGTACAATGGGGCTCTTCTCTGCCTGCAGACTACAAACGTGCAAATGCTCCCTGGGGCGTGAGAGCCAGGCCCCTTGCCCCTTCGTGCAGCGAGTAAGACCTCTCTGTAGTACGTCTTCATGTCATTCAACCCAGAGCAGGTGCCGTGGGCCCTGCCAGGACCTTTGAGATACCCATCCTGACCTGGAACAAAGAAGTAAAGGGACGGCAGGCAGCTGGAAAGGCCAAGGAGCACAGGCTGGACTCGAAGGTCCAGAGGGGAAGGCTGGCCGCGGCAGGGCACCTCCTGGCCACGCTCCCCCGGCAGCGCGAAGACGGTGGGCGCCCCCTGCACAGGCGGCTGGGACGCGCCTGTGTGTGCGAGCGTGAGTGCGAGGGGCCCAGGCACCGGCCCTGACCTTGCCCTTGGTATCTACGAGGGCCCTCTCCCCACGTGCACAAGGCTGCACCTCACCCCCGGGCCCGCAGGGACGGGGCAGGGCCACGGGCGCTGAGCTGCGGAGACCCAGCCCCCAGACAGCTGCCAGGCGGGGAGCCTGGGCTTCCCACACGCTACTTCTCTGTTTTTAAAGCGCCACCCCGACTCCATTCACTGCACGAGCTAGCGCGCTACGGCTCTCACGGGACCCAGGAGGTGAGAGCCAGCTCGGGGACGCGCTGTGCTGGACGTGGCGCCACCTGACCTCTGCTTCCACTCCTCCTGCCCACAGCCTCGTCCCTGCCCAGAGAACCCCGCCTGCACCTGGGCAGCGGCGTGTGCTCCTGTGCCCGCGCAGGGGGTGCTCATCGTCCAGAACAAGCTCACCCACACTGGCGTCTTTCTGCGCTGCAGGAAGGTACCACATCCCAAGTCCTGTGGCGGACGCGGTGATACCAGCCCAGGTCTGGGTGCGGCCCCCTCCCAAGGGGCACCGGCCCCTGCCTGGGACTTCCCAGAAGGGATTCCGACAGTGGCTTTGTCTACACACTAGAAGCCAGGGATGCAAGGTTGGGGGCCACCCAGGCCTTGTCCTCCGTGTCTGAATCCCAGACAGGTGGTGCCGTCCCTTCCCGGGGTCACAAGAACTCCTCTGCTGATAGGAGCTTAACGGCCCAGATAGGAAAGGGGAGGCTTGGTGTAGCACGAGGTCTTAGCAGAATTGCCGGACCCCAGCACCCCGGGCAGTGGCCACCCCTGCACCGCTGGCATCCTGGGTCCTTACAGTGAGCCGGTGTCCTCAGGCAGCGTGGCCTGGGCAGCCTTACCAGTGTGAGCGCAGGACATTCAGGAGCAGGATGACCACGCCCAGCATGTAGCAGGCCAGGTAGGGGGAGCCCATGGCTCGGCTCAGCTTCCGGGTTTTCTGTTCCCATCTTGCAACCTGAATGCGGAAGAGAAGAAGGCACTTGAGGTGTGTGTTGGGAGAAAACGGAGGGGAGTGGGTGGTGGCGCCAGGTCCCAAGGCTCTGAGGCTGAGGAGGGAGCAGGACAGGGAGCAGCCAGCCTGTGGGCCTCGCTCCGCCGGGATTCCCACGTGTCCTCCCTCCTGTCTGGGGGAACCACGCCGTCCTTCCAGCAAGCGCACCTCGAGCACGAGCACATCAGGACGCAGACAGAGACCTGGTGGCCCAGGAGCCGCCCGCAGCCAGCAGAGGCGCCCTCCGCGCCGAGGGCCACCGCCCGGACGCCCGCAGCAGGCTCCGGAGCTGCGGGAAGCAGAGGGCAGCTCTGCAGAGGGAGTGGGAGGCCGCTGGCAGCGAGCACAGGCCCAGCAGCAGGCCCAGCCCGGGGCGCTCTCGCACAACGTGCCCGGCCGGGGCAAGTCTAAGGGGCGGCCAACGGCCTCAAGCCTCCTTCCCCAGCGCCTTCGAGGCACAGACTTTCCAGCTTCCAATTGTAGTTTATTTTTTAAACTAATGAAACCCACGGTCACCCTTCAACATCTGACGGTGGAGTGAAGTGAACAGGCAGCTTTAACGACAGCCCTCCTGCCTCTGCTGGTCCCTGGCGCCCCGGTGCCGGCCCCCATCACTGCTGCGCGCACTGTGCACACTGGTGAACCAACGGGGTGGGGCGGGTGCGAATCGGCGCGCGTGAGGGGCGCTGAGGAGAGGACGGCTGGGGGACCGGCAGCTGCCCTAGAATCACGTTAGCAAGGCACCCCAGGGGGCCTGAGCATGAACATGTTCATGTGTGTGGAGTACCTCTAACTAAGATCCTCGCCCAGTGCCCTCTCCTCTGGGTCGCCCCCCGAGGACTGGGCCCGGGGCTGTCGTCCTCCTTTATGGCCTCGGCAATGATTCCGCCGGCTCCCTGCCCGGCTTCTTGGGTGCACCTACCTTCCCCGTTTACTCAGCAGGGAGGGTGACTGGCGGCATGAGGTCAACAAGCCCGTGGCTCCCGGCTCAGAGGTGGCCCCTGCTTGCCCTGTGGGCAGCTCTGGCCTCACTCAAGAGGGCGGTGCAAGGGCTCCAGGGCCCAATGGCCTCCAGGGGGCGCTGTGGCACCCAGGGTCACAGCCCTCACATTCTGGCCCCTGGTTTTGTTTTTTTTTAATTTTGAAATAAAATTTCAAAGTCGTGTTTAGTTGTACAGCCATCACTATGGTCTAATTCCAGAACATGTCCATCACCCCACACGGAAGCCCCATGCCAATTAGCTTTCACTCTCCAGCCCCTAACCTACTCTCTATGGGTTTGCCTATTCTGGAAGTTTCATATAAATAGGATCACACAACATACGACTTTTGACTTCGGTTTCTTTAACTTAACATAATTTTTCTGAGGTTCATCCATGCTGTAGCACATATCAGTACTTCATTCCTTTTTATGACTGAATAATACTCCATTGTATTAAAATACAAAATTTTGTTTATGCATTCAGCAGTTGATAGACATTTGGGTTGTTTCCACCTTTGAGCCATTAGAAATAGTGCTGCTGTGAACATCCATGTATAAGTTTCTGTGTGGGCACGTGTTTTCATTTCTCGTGGGTGTACATCTAGGAGTGGAATTGCTAGGCCCTACGGTAAGCCTCCTCTTAACTTACTGCGGAACTGTCAAACTGCTTTCTACTATGGCTGCACCATTTTACATTCCCATCAGCAGTGTGTATAGGCATTCCAATTTCTCCACGTCCCTGCCAACACTTGCTATTTTTCCATTTTCAAAAACTAGCCATTCTAATGGGTGTAAAGTATCAAGTCATTGTGGCTTGGCTTTGCATTTCCTTCCCAACTAACGATGACATTGAACATCTTTTCATACACCCATTGGCCATTCGAATATCTTCGTTAAAGAAAAATCTATTCAAGTCCTTTGCCCATTTTTAAAATTGGGTTGATTTTCTCTTTGTTCTTTATATATTCTTGGTAGGAGATATTGATCAGATATATGATTTACAGATATTTTCTCTCATTCAGTGAGTAGTCTTTTCCCTTTCTTTATATTGTTCTCTGACGAACTAGTTTTTTATTGTGGGGGGCCACTCTGTTTCAACCCCACTCGGCCAGGCTCCCTCCAGGGCCCACCGGCGTGGGCTCCGCACTGTGGGCTGGGCTCCAGGAAGGGACACGCGGCCAGGCCTGCCTTCGGGGAGCTCGGAGTCCAGCAGGGCCACAAGCAGAGCAGAGCTTCCACCTGTGTGCCTGTCCCTATGGCACAGCAAGTGGCCGAGCCGATCTGCATCACGTCAGGAGGGAGACTGGGGCGGTCACCCTGCAGGACAGGCTGTGTGGCCTGTGCAGGATTTCTCCCGAAGGTCCCCTGGAAGGTACAGCCACCCTCCAAAGCAGCGAGACTGAGGAGTAAAGAGAGGACCTTTCAGAGTGACCACTTGTCAGGAAGGACAGGCACATCATGGGCACCCAGTGGGCCAGAGGAGAAGTCCACAGAGAAATCAAAAGACACCCCGAGACAAAGGGAAATGGAAATACAACCATCAAAATGCATGGGATGCAGCAGAACAGCTCTAAGAGGAAAGTGCATAGCAATACAGGTCTGCCTCAAGTGACAAGAAAAATCTCAAATAAACAACCGTACTTTATACTTCAAGGAACTAGAAAAAGGAGAACAAATGAAGTCCCAGTGAGTAGAAGGAAGAAAATAACAAAGGTCAGAGCAAAAATACATGAAAGACAATATAAAAGGTCAGTGTTGAGGGGAGGAAATGGGCAGAGGTGGAAGAGGGAACAAGGCAGGCAAATAGCAATGGAAAAAATACAATAGAAAATAAATTTTTAAAAAACAAAACATAAAAAAGATCAATGAGCCTAAGAATGACCGCCTGGGGCACGGCTGGAGACGCCCCAGCCGTCGTGTTCCCGGGAGAGACCCGGACCGCCTGGGGCACAGCTGGCTGCCCCGGGCGAGAATGCTGCAGTTTTTTTTAAAACTAATCATCCCCGAATTCCACACCCCTCACCACACTTTGTTCTCTGTTATAAAAAGGCTGGCTTGCAAGGAAACGCAGGAAGGTCCGTTAGGGTACAAACCTGCCCCACCACCTTCTTAGATCACTGACCATCTGAATTAAGCGCCCATAAAGATTCAAAAAAAATAAAGAAAAAAAAGAAAGAAAAGCAATGAGAATTAGTTTTTGAAAAGGTAAACAAAATTGACAACCATCTGTTAGACTCATCAAGAAAAACAGAGGACTCAAATAAATAAAATCAAAAATAAAAGAAATGTTACAACTCATACCATGGAAATACAAAGGATCATAAGAGACTACTATAAAATCTTATACGATAACAATTGGAGAATCAAGATGGCAGAGGACTGAGTGGAACTCACACTGACCTCCTCCCAGGACCAATCTGGAATTACAACTAAATTGTAGAGAAATCACCTGGAACAAACAACTGAATAGTGAGAGAGGAGCCTTAAAACCTCAGACAGACCGAAGAATCAGCCTTAGCGCAATCTAACTGGTAAGGAGTGCGGTAGAGACTCGAGAAGGTGGGTGGGGCACCCACGGGCGGCAGCATCAGAAGGGTATTGAAAGAGCCCGTTGCATCCCCCTGAGAAGAGTGAGTTCTAAACCAAAAGCGGGGCTCTCCAGCCTACAGCACCAGAGCCCAAAAAGTACACAAGAAACAGCCAGCTGCAAAAAGCAGCAGGGTTGCTCTCTGCCAGAGACAGGCAGCTGGAGACACAAAGAGCTGTGTAAAAAGCCAACGCATACATTTTTATTTGCAGCCACTTACCCTGGTCTCTGGCAGAAGTGGGAGCAGAGTGGGCTAGAGACGCCTGAGGAGAGACTGGGGAACAAAGCTTTTGGGGAGAGAACTGAGAGAGTAGCCAGCAGGATCCCTGTGCTGACTCATCCTCCATGCGGCAGCAGCCATCTTGCTCAGGCAGAGACAACTCCCCCTGAGTGGCAGCAGCATCAGAGGACCCAGTAGCCCCGCCCCCAGGTGGGATTCTGCCCCTGCCCTGTGCTGTCTAAGCTGCCTGCTGAGTGCAGAGTGGCAGCCACAGATAGTAGATCCCTGGCTAAAGGGGATGCAGAGTGGTCTGGAGACACCTGAGGAGAGACTGGGGACAGAGGCTTTGGGGAGAGAACTGAGAGAGTAGGCAGGATCCCAGTGCTGACTCCTCCCCCACATGGCAGCAGCCACTTGGCTCAGACAGACCACTCCCCTGAGCAGCAGCAGCAGCATGAGAGAACCAAATAACCCCGCCCCCAGGAGGTAGTCTGCCCCACCCTATGGTCTCTAAGCCGGCCTGCTGAGTGCAGGGTGACTAGATTAACAGCTGACAGCCACAGACAGTAGATTACTGGAAATCTCAAACAGACTCCCTAAGGTCAGACAGGGACAACGTCTGACATCATCAGAGGCAGATCCAGAAAGTAAAAACAGCGGTCTCCTACCATAGAAGTTCACACCACAAAGTCAGAAAATCAAGACAGATCAATTCAAGACACAGAAGCAAAATAGAAGAGTCTCACAAATAATGGGAAGACAAAGAAATACCCTTCACTTGAAGGGAAAGGAGGAATCCCCAAAAAGAGAACTAAATGAAATAGAGGCACATAAACTATCAGATATTGAGTTCCAAACAACACTTCTAAGGAAGCTCAGTGAGCTCAGTGAGCTCAGAGAGAATTACAAAAAACTTTAGGGAAACTACGAGGAACTTACTGCAAACTATATCAGCATGAAAAAGGACATAGAAACTATCAATAAGAGACAAGAGGAAATGAAGAATACAAATTCTGAATTGAAGAACACAGTAGAAGGAATCAAAAGCAGGCTAGATGATGCCGAGGATCGAATCAGTGAGCTGGAGGACAAGGTAGAAAAAAGCTCCCAGAAAGAGCAAGAAAATGAAAAAAGACTCAAAAAGAATGAAGAAGCATTTAGGGAAACGCAGGATA